GTCACCCACCAGCTATAAATCTGTACGAAGACCTGGATTCTAAATGGAGAAAAACGATAAAACAGGAGCAGCAGACAACTGTTCTCAGTCATCTCAAAATCCAATGCAGAGTCAACCGCGTTCTGGATTTGATGGAAAGTAGTTAGTGGCTTCGAGCCCACACTACGCGAGACTTGAAACCTTCCCTGGAGACGCAGAGTTGCTTTGGGAATCGAAGGCCCAATGGTCCTAAGGGCTGGTGTCCTTTCCAGCGGTCACACTTGGTTGTAGGCCGCTGTCCCTCAGAAATTGCCCCCCACCCCAGAAACTGCGTTCTTAGAGCAGGTCCCAGAACCCGCCCTGATGCCCGGCTTTCGTGGTCACGGGGGCCAGGCGTGGAGCTCTCCGCCTTTCCCAGCTACTCCGTGAACCCCTGGCAAACCCAGGACCACCTTCCTCCCTGCTTGCAGCCTGGCAGCTAACCTAAAGCCACACGCTGCTCCGGCCTCCACTCCAAACTCTGTCCACATCCCCCACACACCCCATCTCCACCATACACTTTTTTTTTTTTTTTTGAGAGACTTTTGCTGTAGGGCACGTGCGCTTGCTGGAGAGACGGAGAGAGGAAGTGGGAAATCACCCCTCGTGGGGGCTAGCCACGCTGCAGTTCCCCCTTCTCTGCTCTCCCCTTGGGACTTTGGGCACGCATGCACCCGCGCCTGGCATGTTCTAAGCTGCCGGTCTCGAACCACGATGGGCCCTGTGGGGTCCAGGGCCTTAACCACGGCGCCACGTGCCGGCCCGCTCTTTGATTATTTGAGGGTTTTTGCCACAGGGCGCATGCACTCACTTGGAGAGACACAGAGAGGGTGAGAGAGAAAGTGAGAAATCACCTCCCCAGGGGACGGCCACACTGCAGTCCTGTCTCCTCTCCCCCGGGGTCCGGGCCTGCATGCACCTGCACCTGGCACGGTCCAGCCCACTGCTCCGGGGCTTCTCCAGGTGGCTGTGTGGGAGGCCGGCCCCTGCAGGCCCCACATGGACTTGAGGTTACCTCTCGGTTCCCAGGAGGCAGTAATCTCGGCACTCGCCCACGTGACCACCTCGCTGTGGGGAAAAACGGGACCCTTTCGTCCCAGACCGCGCTCCCTGCACCTGCAGTGCGCAGCTCCGGTGCCTCCTCCACCCACTGGGGGCCCTGCAGCTGCCCGCCCGTCTGCTCTCAGCCCGCGTGGATGGTGAGACGCGACCGGCAGGCACAGCACCGCGCGCACCCCACGGCCCCGAGGGCACCCGCGGCGCTCGTGTGGCTCCACTCCGTGGGATGGGAGGGTGCACGTGAACGCCCCGGCCCACGACTCGCACGGCCGTGCCCTCGCCCTGGCCCTCACTGTGGGCTCTGAGACCGGGGCTCCCTGTCCCACGAGCAGCGTCTTCCGCCTTCCTTCTTTCCACTCCTTCCAAATCTCCCCCGCCCAGGCTGCACGGCTTTCCTCTGCTCTCCCCTACACCCCGCAATCCATTCTGTCTAAAACTGAGCCGAGTGTCCCCCGGTGACAGCACTGCCACCCACCCAGACGCGCAAGGCCAAAACCCCGGCGGCACCCTCGAGCGGCTGTCCACGACACTGGGCACTTTGCGAGTCTTGGCCTGCTCTTCTCCCTCACTGCACGGCAGAGGCCAGGCTTTCCCCCTCGGGAGCGGGTGCACCCCTCAGCCGCACCGTCCCTCCACGTCCACTCTGCACCAGGCCCGGCTCTGGCCTGTACCCTGGGCCTGACAAACTACTCCTTCTCAATAAGCTCACACGGGGGTGCACTGCCTCCTAGGGGGCGTGTGCTTGCCAGAGAGACAGAGAGAGGGAAAGTGAGTTTCCCCCGGGGAATGGCCACGCCCCAGCC